TCCTCGATCGGAGACGACGTCCTCGGGGATTCCAAAGTTACGGAAGATGTGTTGGAACAGCGCCTCTGCTGTTTCAAGGGCTGTTGGCAAACCTGGAAGGGGAATTAGTTTGCACGCTTTGGAGAAGCGGTCTACTACTACCAGGATGCAGGTGTGATTGTCAGACACGGGCAGCAGATCGATCGCGCAGTCCCATGGCCGATGTGGAGGTAGGGTGGTCGCTTGATGTTTATCGAAGACATCCTGGAACGCCCGGTAAGGAGAGGGGATCTCGGGAAGATGTTCCACCGGTGGGCTCTCCACGGAGGTGGTAGAGAGCGGAACGGGCGGAGTGGTGGTATAAACAGAGGTCTTTGTCACAGATGGCAGGCAATGATGGAAGCAGTCCTTACCCCACCGTAGGACCTCGCCGGTGGACCATTGAATATGCGGGGAATGGGTCTCCAACCAGGGGCGTCCCAGGATGATCTCGGCCGTAGAGCCCTCCAGCACCAGGAAAGAAATCTCCTCCTTATGGAGCCAGCCGATCTCTAGCCCCAGGTCGGGACTACGATGTCCAACCCGGCCTCGCCCCAGTGGTTCTCCTAGGATGGTTTGTACTTGCAGCTTGTGAGGGATGGATCGTTGTCTGGTTTGCAGCCGGTTTAATGTGGACAGAGCGATGAAGTTGGCCGCTGATCCGGAGTCGATCAGCGCCTGAACTGAAATGGAATGGTTCAAATAAGTGACAGTGGCCGCAGTAAATTTCAAGGAGGAGATGGGTAGTGGTAGTTGGACCGTACTCACAGCGGGTCGGGGTGGACGAACGGGGCAGGAGGCGAGCAGATGGCCGGAGGCTCCACAGTACAAACACAGACCGCTGGTGATGCGACGATTTCTCTCGGACACTGGCAGTCGAGTGGTACCGATGTCCATCGGCTCTGGTGCTGGAGGACTGTGATGACGGGACGCTGGACGAGGAGGTGGAAGTGCAGGGCTGTCGAGCTGGCATGCAGTGCGTCGCTGGTCGATGCGAATGGATCGCTGGATGATGCTCTCTATTCCGACGTTGTCGTCATAAATCGCGAGCTGGAGGCGGATGTCAGGATTCAGGCCATGACGGTATGCGGTGATGAGAGCGCTCTCATTCCAACCGAGAGTGGCGGCGAGGGTGCGGAACTGCAGTGCATATGAGGCGACGGACGATCTCCCTTGCCTCAGACGGTACAGCTGATCTTGGACCGAGATGGAATGTGCAGACTGCGAAAACACCTCGATGAAGTGGCCGGAGAAAGCGGTAAACGTCTGAGTAACAGGACCTCGATCCTTCCAAAGGGCATGAGCCCAATTGAGCGCTCGGCCTCGCAGGAGTGAGATGAAGAAGGCTACTTTAGATCGGTGGGGAAGGATGATGGATTCATCTCCATGTAGAGCTCGCACTGCAAGAGGAAGCCGCTGCACTCCTCCTCGCCAGAGAAGGGCGCTGGTTGGGCCATGGAACTGAGAGAGGCAGATGGGGAAGAAGTGGTGACTGTGGATGTGGCGAGTGCTGGAGCGCTAGTCCGGGGAATGGTAGGGGAAGGTGAGGTCGGTGTAGCGCTGGTGCTCGGGGTAGATTGCAGCATTTTGTTGGTCTGGTCTTCTGTCACAGACTAGAAGGACACAGATGGATGAGGGTAAACCAGGTTTATTGGGACAGGTGGTATGGTCAAACAGCAGGTGAGTATATAATGGAGAAAGTACGGTAATGAAGCGGGTAACAGTCTGATTATGTATTTCTTATCTTGAGCAGGATGGAGAGACGGAGGGTTGATGCAGCGGACGGATGACCAGATGAAGACCGGGGACCAGGAGCGGATGAGAGGCAGACAGGACTGATGCAAGCGGGTAAGTATTCCTTTTTCGTAAGCAGTAGAGTAGCGGGAGTCTGTAGCTGATGTGTCGACGAGACCAGACGGTGAGTGACTGTGAGGAGTGAGTTTATGAAGGGAGGATGATTGGGACGGTGATTGAAGCGGGCAGGTGACGGTGATTAGAATGCTGGGGAGCTGGAACGAGTGGGCGGAGTGAAGGTGTCTGGTGCTGACGCAGATGGATCCGTGACAGGGTCGTGAACTGGCTTTTTTAAATTTGATTATATCGTTGTCTGAGGTCAACTTATGACGTTCGCTTGGTTTTTGCATTCAAAAAACATCAAAATGAATAAGTAATCGGCTATTTTGTACCCTAGTTTTGAGCCTAGCTGTTTTTTTTTTATGGGCGTCTCGCACTGAAGACTTGGAAGTAAACGCCCACTGCTGTGAGTGGATAACAGTTTTGCATATTATAATGAGTTTCGACTCACCTGTCGATCCACTTGGGGGAAATCGTTTTGATTAATGATTCGCCCAAACATGTTTAACCCAGAGTCCGTGTGTTGCACAATTCCTGTCAGATCCAGATCGCTCTCCAGTCTTGTTTACAAAACAATCCTCAGTGAAATGAAGTGAACTGATGGCCAAAGTTATTTTTGGTGTACTAAGAGAATCTAAAGGATTAAAAACTATTACTTCAGTTTTACTTTCATTAAAATTAAGAAAATTTAAAGACAAACAGGTCATAAGTGCAGGTCTAAGCCATTTAAACTCAAATAAATATTAGTATCATCTGCATAGCTGTGAAACACACCATGCTTCCTAAATATAGAACCCAATGGGAGCATATATAATGTAAAACGAATAGGTCCTAAGATGGAGCCTTTATGCGGGTGTGTGAACAATGTTATTTTTGAAAACGGAGAGGGGGAAAATATTCGTTTTGCTAAATACCCGGCTTTGTGTAAACGTGGCCTCAAACCGACTGAACTCTCCAATACAAACAGAGTGAATGGACGGATCAAAAGCAGGGGGAGATATCCCCTAATATCATTAATCTTATTCATAAAAAATGTAAGAAAATCATTACACACTGTTTGTGAGACAACAAGGTACTCAGAGACGGGTGGATTAACAAGTGTTGAAAACAGTAAAAAGAGTTTGGGGTCTATGATAATGTGCAAACATCTAAATATGGACAAACCACACCTGTAGAGAAAAACAATGAAGTCACAACACAGCTTTACATAAACAGGACGATAATGATCAATAATGCAAACAGAATTCAAATCTGCTGCTATGCAGATCTAAAACGAAAATATTGCGTCAATATACTGTGAATATACTTACCAAGCTTATCACAAGGCTACAGAAATAAATATCGACTGAAGTTAAAATAATCGAATTATGTGAAAACTACCATTTGTGACTATGATAAGTCGATATTTGTTAGAATGTGAAATTAAAATTAACTCTCATTACAGTGTTAGTACAGTATTAGTAGGGTTAGGGATAGAATAAGTTGACATGTTTTAAAGTTACTTATAGTTAGATTAATGTCTTTTCGGGGACTATCACAATAAAGAGTTAGCAGACGTTAAATATTAAAAATTACAATTCTGTAATCAGGTTCTTTCTTCTGCTGAACACAAAAGAAGATATTTTGAAGAATGTATGTAACCAAACAGTTGATGTATACCCCATTGACTTTCCTTATAAGAAAAAAAAATAATACAATGGAAGTCAATGGGGTATACATCAACTGTGGTTACAGACATTCTTCTTTGAAAGAAACTCATACAGGTTTGGAACAGTTTGAGGGTGGGTAAATGATGACAGAATTTTAATTTTTAAGTGAACTATTCCTTTAAGCAATCCGTCTACTAATCCTCTAATGAGAGTAAGTTGAGAATAATGTTCAAAAGGGACCATCAAAATAAAGGGTTGTCAAGAATATTTTTGTTTTCCCCACTGTTTATGCAGACAATCATGTCTAAAATTCCCATGTTGCTATGGTGTGAACGAGGTGACGACAGGAAAGCGTTCTCGTACTGCATGCTTTAGGTTCCCAATGACGTGTGCACTTTCTAATGTTCATCTCTTCAAGGTCGAGTCAGTTTAGATATGGGGTACAACAGAACTAAAAATACAGCATACACTGTGCAGTACTGAAACAATGGCCAGCTTTGACCTCGTTGTTTACTGCTGTCTCCATGGAAGATGGCCTGTCACCTAACCTGCTAGCTTAGCTGGTCTTATCAGCTTCACCATAGTGAAATATCATATTTCAGTCAGAAAGTAAGAATGGATAATGAATCATATCTTGTAACTGACTGAACAAAACAAATCATCATTTGCCATCTTTAAGCACCTGTTTTGTATCATTAATCATGGAGAAATACATTGAAGAGTACATCTAAAAAGTGTAAAGAAAGATGTTTTACTGTTCAAATATTAGTTACATTACATATTCCATTGTGTCTGCATTTACATACATTTTAATGCTATTAAAAATGTTGAACCTTTAGCAAAATTAGTCACTGCTAAAATAATAGGGGGTGGTAATGCCAATTTAAGACTTCAATGTAACACACAAAAACACACATACATCCCTTATACTGAGTTGTTTTATATGTATATATTTATATATGAATTCGCATTCATAATGAATGAAATTATGGCAGACTATATAGGTCTCAAAAACACCAGAATCTACAAAGGCATAGATCATGTTTCTTTCAACTCTTTAGAGAAGGGAGGGCTGTCAATCATATTTTTAAAAGAAAATGTCATTGAATTGAAAATAGCCATGTTAGCATTCCTCTAAATTCCCCTTTTGTAACAGAGAAATAAGACCAAAATTTGTGTTTGGGTCAACATACTGTAACACACCAAGCAATAGCCGTCATTTCGCCATCTCAGTTAACTATAGACCGGGTATGAGTAACCCACTTCTAGCCAAAATAACCTTGAATTTGTTAACATGTCCTTTTTGCCGAAATACCTTGCGATTATGTATGATATTTCATCATGTACGCAAAGTCAACAGTGATTACAAGGTGTGTGGTTTCCAACCCGATCTCACGGGAATTTGTACGAATTTTACGGGGTGGTTAATTCGTAACAATTCGTAAGACCTCACTCTTACGAATTAGTACGATTTTGCTAAATCGTTCATATTTTACGAATTAGCCAATTCGTATGAATTCGTACGAATGACCTACACCTGACCCCGCCCCTAAACATAACCATCACGTGGGTTTAGACAAATCGTACGAATTCATACGAGTGAGGTACGAACTAGCCACTTTTGAATCACTCGTACGAATTGGTCGTGAGATAGCGGACACGTTTAATGCGTAGCCTGTGCATCTATTCTTGGACTATGGTTAGACCTCTATTACATTTTCACTGACATGCCAAATTTTGCCTTGTTATAGCCTAAACTAGGACTGTGTTTGGACAGCTATTAGACGTCTTTTAAGCATCAAACATCTTCTTTCTTCCCTCCATGCCAGACATGGCTTCCACATTCTTACGCCAGTCACCTACTTCACTGGTCAAGACCTATTTGACAGAAAGAAGCATTGGATTGTAAAATTGTAATGAAAACTACAATAATTTGGACTCATATTAGCTAATTTTGGTATACAGTTTTATATTTATCGCCTTACCTTTTCTTGCTTTATATCCTCCTTCTTGACCGACTTCAGATTTGCACGGAGGTCCATGGAGCCTTTGTGTTTCGAGCCCAGCAAAGCCCTCATCATCTCATCGGCAGACACACGCACCTTCCTCAGGGCGGGTTTCTTGAACTTCCCTCCTAGATCCTGAACTTTCATCTTAAGTTCATTGATCTAATCAAGGGAATACAAAATTTCCATTACCAAGGAGGTGCTTAAAGGGGGGGTTGATTGCGATTTCACTTTTTTCATTTTAAATAGTGTGTAATGTTGCTGTTGGTGCATGAACAGTATCGGCAAAGTTGCAGCGCTGAAAGTTCAATGTAAGCAGAGATATCGTCTTTTAAAAATCAGGAAGTGTAATTCCTACAAAAACGACTCGATTGGGACTACAGCTGGGTTTTAGACGTCATTAACCCATACATTTGCATCAACCCTCCCTCCGGAATATGCAAAAAAAAGGGCATGGCCACATTTCTGTGGCTCGTCGAAAGTTATAGTTACGCTATTTCGTGTCTACGACAAAAGCGCACAAACACTTTGGACCTGAATTTGTAAATGTACTATGTATTTGTCATGTATATATACTTCATGACGTAATTTTTCGATTTGATCAAGAATGTAAAAACCAGTGCCTTGTGTATATAGTAGCCAGTTAGTTCGACGCTATTTTGTTTAAGACAAATTGTATAAAATTATAGGCAATGTATTCGCATAATTGTAATTCTAAAAATAAAAATTGTTTAACGCAGTTGCCACATGTAGGCTACACCTAAATAAAACGATACACTGAGTAAACTAAGTTTGGTGAATAGATAAACGGTTGTTCATTATTTCGATAAAGCAATAACTTTTAAAAACATTTATTCAGTTATATTGAATGTTTAATCAGGAGAAAAACGTATCTCAAAAGCTAACAAGCAGCAGTAGCATTTTCAAGTAACAACGTATCGAAAATTCGTATAATAATAGTAGAATAGAATAATAATAATTTTTAAAAAAATACCATTCAGAAACGTTTTGTAAGAGCCGTGTTTGGGGAGGTTCTGCTTGACTCTCTTCCCTTTTCTTTCTGGGTTTGTTTCAGGCTCTGATACCGCAGTATCGACACCATTATTTTCTTTGAAACTCATTCGTAAAGGTGATGGGCGTGAAGTTTCCGGACAACGTGCGCTACACAATTTAGCCAATCACCACACACCGGCCCAAACTAACCAATCGGAGCCCACTGCCTCTTTCTGAGGGAGTGGTTTCATAGAATCAGGAAGTCAACCAGTCGTTCAAATGACAGAGGAGAGCGCGGCTGACAATAAAGGTGAAGTTTATGAAAAATAAGACTTTTTAAAAAAGAAAAACCCTGAATAATGTTATATTTTACCCCATAAACACAATCATGCAAAGAAAAAAAAGCAGTAAACCACCCCTTTAATACCTAAAGAATGCTATCTCTTAGAACTCAGGTTCATCTCAATGGTCCGTTGGTTGTCACACCCTCAGATGTATGCAATCCATTGTGTGGACTTTGTGTTTCTATCCTGTTGGTCTTGATAATCCTGACATTTCTGTTAGTCTTTTAATACTGTGTCTAACATTGTCGTCCGTCAACGGCAGCTGTCACAGAGGCTAAGCCTGAAAGGTGCAGCAAGTTACGCTTAGTAACTTCTTTCAATAGCTGAACCAACTGTGTTTTTTTACCATGCTGATGTACTGATACTATTTACTACCACTTGGTGTGGATGCCATCAAAAGTGATTTATACGTAAGGTGGGTTAGCTAAATAAAAAAGTGTTATCCTACTAATCTAAAAATAGCTGCAGTCACGAGGGGGTGACTAGCCTTACATAAAATAAAAAAAGTTTTGTCTAGGATACTGATATGTCTATTTACCAGTTGTCTATAATCCATTTTTCCTGGAGGACCACCGCAGTGTTTAGCACCCAGTTATAGCAGAGTTTCCTAACCCTGTTCCTGGGTTAGGAAAGTATCCTGTACTTTGATACTCTGTTTCAGCTTTGTTTAAAGGTGCTCTTAGCGATGTCGGGTGACGTGACTTCTTGTTGACGTTTAAAGTATTTTCAAACAAAGCGGAGGCTAGATAGACCCTCCCTCCTCCTCATCTAACACAGTCTCATCCCAAGACGTCATATAACTGACACTTTGGACCATACGTCAACATCCGCCATTTTAGGGTAACCTTAATCCTGGGGCGTCATCTAACTGACGCTTTACCTTTAGCGTTAGTTAGGTGACGGGGTAGGTTTAGGTCTGGGGTAGGGTCCCAGATAGCAAACTGACATTAAATCAACGTGGAAATATGACATCGAAACAACGTTGCTCTAAAATTGTTTTGCTCATCGAATTAACGTTGAACCAACGTCAGACGCGTCATTCTTTCAAAACTAACGGAAAATCAACTTGAAATCAACACGTTGTTTCAACGTTATGAAAGCAAACCAATTTTCCATTTTCATTTAGCTTTGAAGAATGCCGCGTCTGACGTTGGTTCAACGTTTAATTCGATGAGCAAAATCAACGTTGTTTCAATGTCATGAGAGACGTCGTTTCCACGTTGATTCAATGTCAGTTTGCTGTCTGGGGTTAGGATTAGATAACGTCATCTAACCGATGTTTAAGAATACCCTAAAACGGCGAATGTTGACGTATGGTCAAAAGCGTCAGTTGTATGACGTATTGGGATGAGACTGCGCTGCGTCATCTGCACTAACCCCCCAAACCCCACCCCCAGGGCCTTCTTGTCAGTTATTGGCTGTAACAGTTTGTTATGTTTCGTGGAGCGGGTTGCCGCAGTTTGTTTTTGTTGCCATTTGTGGAGCCTGGGTTGTCTGCATAGACAATGAGATGTAGCTGTATGTGACGAAAAATGTTTTGGCCTTAAAGATGTGTGACATCGCTTAGAGCACCTTTAGATAAACTGTGCAGGTCTGCTGACCTTTTTGGAGACCTCTGGTCTATAGTCAGGGGTGGGTAACTCTGGCCCTCAGGGTCCAATATCTTCGTAAGTTCCCCTGATTTTAGTAATCGACAAGAATCCTCCTGGTTCTGGTGTGTTTGTGATTCCGTGTTGGTTCTATCTTCATTTGTCCCAGTTATGGCGCTTTTCCATTACCACTAGCTCAACTCGCCTCGACTCGGCTCACTTTTCGCTCCGTTTCCATTGCAGACAGTACCGCCACAAATAGTACCCGGTCGTCATAGCGACGCCTTTCGTTCCTCGTTGCCCAATCAAGCTCTCACTGGATCCTCTTTTCGGCAACCAAACAAAGGAAAGTCTGCATTTGACCACGCCATATTCTTCCGACTTGCCATAATAATAGTAGTAAGTTTAGTAACTATCTCTGGCCAAACTATTTAAAAATGGCGGGGTTATTCTAGATACTCAATCTAGCGGGTGTAATGATGACGCAGTGAATGGTGACGATTCTCTCTGACCAATCAGCAGTCGGTATTGTTTTCACGTCACATTTTTGTATCGCCTTAGCTCGCTCAGAACCTCGTCGGTGGTGGTACAAAAAAAGTACCCGGAAGCAGGTACACAACTTTTACACAGTAGAAAGGCGAGCTGAGCCGAGTCGAGTCGAGCTGGTACTGTGTCCAAAAACGCCATTAGAGTCTACATGATATTCATATGGACTTTTCATGGACAAACCCATTTGGGGCCAATTCCTCAAACCAATATAATGCCTACATTGGCCTCACAATGACTGGGTTTAGACTTACATCTTTGTTGTGCTTGATAACTTTATCCTCATAGCCGTACCTCTCCTCATCTACTACATCGATTTTTGCGTGGAGCTGCTTGCATAGATTCTGAAGATGAATATAAAACATTGGTAAATGCAACTGGTTTAAGAAATATTGAATGAAGTCTTCAACTTACGTCTGTCTGACTGAATGTATCACCTGTAACTCCTCTAGAGAGAGCCCAGAAATCTGCAAAGGAGGGTGTTTTTCTGTGAGGTAGCGATTTTTCTCTTCATCCCGTTCCTGTTTCTCGTTTTCCAAATCCTCCATTGCTCTGTTAAGAAGCATTATCTGATTGAAGATGGAAGAGGAGCTTTAATAACAATTTCAGAACAAAGTAGGAAATAAGTTACGGAAATAAATCGAACCTTTAGAGAAAGTTTCCTTGATGCTGAAATCTTTGACTTAGGCTGTTAAAAACAAGGTAAGGGTAATGAGGTATTGAATAGTGATATAATATTGATTGGCACGGCATGATTTTTAAAATCAAGACGTACTTTGATGTCCATTTTTGGATTTCCAGGCCTTCGTATCTGCTGTAATGGAGCGACATAGTTTACATTTGAAAGCAAGCATATTCATTTTAATATTCATGTAAATACTAAAAGCAATGACATTTATGTGGATAACAGTATGCTTACCTGACTGCCAGTATCGTTTGTTAAGAAACAAAAAAAGGGAAACGATCATCAGTATGCATTTATTAAAGCATTTTGAGTAATCAAACTGTAAGTAATTTTTATGCTGATATAAGAATGTCTTGTGGAATTTTATAATAATTTTGTGTAAGGCTTGAGGTCACAAAATATCAACATATATCTTTTTCCTGGCCAATATTGTAGGATATTTTTTACAGGAATTCTGAAATATTCACTAAAATGAAAACTAAATGTGACTGATAGCACCAGTATCACATAATTTAATATTAACATGCTAAATAATCAAAAAAAGACTTGTACTTACTCGCCCATTGTGACGTCTTGCTGAACAACTAAAAAAAGTAATTCAAGAGATTTCAGATGAAACTTAGAAAATCTTCTCAAGGCAAAGTCAATTCTTTAAAGTAGCCTAAGTGTAGATGCTGTACCTGGTATCTATCTGGTTTATGGCCACTGACAGAAGGCAGAACAACTGGGTTTTGAGACAAAGGGATTTTATAGCCCAGCCGCCACTGGCTGGCAGATATAGTTTCTGTCGCCAAGAATGCCTTGGCAGTGCTTTAGAAATGAAAGATCACCGAATGCAAAGCTGTAACAATACAGCAATACATAAGAATACATGATGTTCTTTTCTTTGAACTGGATTTGAGTTCATAAATCCACACACAATCAACACAATATTGACTCCATTGATATTTATCATCCACACGCTGATATAACCTCTTAAAATAGTTCCTGATGAGTCATGACCCAAAAATGGATCGGATGTCTGTTCTCTTTGGATAGCAGGGCAAAACAATCCTAAATGCAAATGATTCACTGTAACTTTTATTTTTGATTATAGTCAAATGTAGTTTTATAAAGTTTGCTATATTATTATATTTCATGCCTTCCCATATAAAATTGCTGTTATAAAAAGACTGTGTTCAATCAAACTCATATCCATCTGTCATTTGCGAATGTGCTTAATAGTAAATCAATATGTAGAGCAGTGTTTTAGGTAAAAAAAGAAAAAAAAAACACTTATTTTGTGTTGAAAATGTTTATTGTCTGGTATTTTCCTTTTGTAAAATAATAGAGCAGTTTTGATACTGTGTCACATTCTAAGTTGGTTTTCTCTTAGGCTATGTTTACACAGAAACGATTTTGAAGAGAAAACACAAAGGTGGCGTTGCGTTATCACTTTTTATTCTTCGTTTAGACGAGCGTTTTTGGTGGGAAATCTGTGTGCATATGGTGACGCAAGAGTGTGAAACTCAATGTAGTATGCACTCCAGGCGGCTAGGTGGCGATGTGAAGCACTGCCACACAACAACACCAAGTCCGCGCGCCTGCGTACAACCTTCACTGTCAAGCAGACTTTTGCGTTTTTACCGTTTACCGTTTAATATTTCCACTCTGGAGGGTGGTTTCACTTTTTTGCGTTTTTAAGCCCCGTGTAAACGAAAGGCACATCCGATAAAATATTTTTACGTTTTCACCCGCGAGTGTTCTTGTGTAAACAGGGCCTTATTTAGTATTCGTATTTTTTGGTTTTGTCTTCTAGTTTGATTGTCATTGCTAATGGGTTCTGTTCGTTCTGTTCTGTTACCATGGTTACACATTGTTTGATTAATTCAGTTCAGGTGTTCATCGTTTAGTTTGGCTTGTTGTCTCACTCTATTTATACCTTGAGTTTCTGTCTGTTAGTTTGTCATTTCTCATCAATGAGTGTGTGGTAGTGTTAAAATTTCCCAGTGTTCTTTGGCATATTTCCTTGTGGATTAATTAAAGATTTTGTATGTGCTACTCATCCTACGCTATCTCACGACCAATTCGTACGAGTGATTCAAAAGTGGCTAATTTGTACGAATTCATACATTCACTACATACTTGTCTAAACCCACGTGACGGTTATGTTTAGGGGCGGGGTCAGGGGTAGGTCATTCGTACGAATTGGCTAGTTCGTAAAATATGTACGATTTAGCAAAATCGTACTAATTCGTACGAGTGAGGTCGTACGAGTTGTTAGCCACCTGGTAAAATTCGTACGAATTCCCATGAGATCGGGTTGTACTCATCTTCTTTGTGAGAGTTGTCTTTGCAACAACCACAATTCTGTGACAGTGATACTGGGACTGGAAGCAAAACCATAGAGAACATTTCTTTTTGGGATTTGGCACTATGGTACTTTTTTGTGGCTATAATGGCAGTACTCAAAAACATTTTGATTTCCTAAACCTCATATCAACTAATGTTGGTTCTAGAGTACTGATTGCAAAAAGGAACTTGCAGGTGTGCTCTAGAAAGTCGTCACTGGTCAAACCCAACCCAAGTCTCCATCACAGATGGTCCTGCCCAGCCTCCGTTCCTCGCCTCTGCTGTCAACCTTCAACCCCTCGGCTCGTCCAGTGGTTCCACCGTGCTGCTCGTGTCCGCCTTGGTCTGTGAATCCCTCATCTCCACCTCAGGACAGAGATGGATAATCAAAGGTTCGTAAATAAAACATGAGTACAATACTTACATATTCTCATAGCGGTTCCTAATGGTCGGTTAAAGGCATCATGGAATGTTAAATACACATTCATCTTTCCAGAGGAGAAGTATCCCTTTAATAACTCAGTATGTCATTATGATTCTAATAGGTAACACTTCATTTATATAGTCCACTATAGACATTCTACTAATTATAAGTAACTTTTCAACTATGTCAACTACCATTAGTTGACTGTCAGCTTAATGTCTGTTAACACTAACCAATCACTGTACTAATACTCTAATGAGAGTTTGTTTTGCAAAGTAGAATATCTAGTTGACTATCAAAATAAAGTGTAAACCAAATACATATTGCAAAAAAAGCTACTGACTGACATAAGTGTTCATTGGTATTTCTTATCATATAATCCTTTATAATCTTAAATTTCCATTTGCCAGCAGCACCAGAAAAATTAGAAAAGAAACAGCATAAGAGCAATAATAACTGTCACCATTGTGTTCAGTTTTCAGACTTGGTACGTTTACAAGACAACGATATTTGCTTTAAAAAGTTTTCCTTAGAGTTTTCACCGTACAAACGACACCATTGTCAAAACGATCCCCATTCACACGGATCCGGATTCGATCTAGGCTACTCTACCAACAATGTTGTTACATTTTAAATACTAGTTCGCAATGGCACAAAGCAAAGAAACAATAAGAAGGAAACGAATGACCTTGCTAACATGCAGCTATTGTTCCGGAGCAGGTGCATTTAGCTATTTATTCTGAAACATGATCCCAACGCAGTTATGGAGAACTTGCTCACCACCATAGTATCCGTCTCAGCGACCACTGATGGCTTAATGCATCACTGCCTTTAAACACCTGTCACACAAACATTTGAAGGATTTATGGCTATCCAATCAGTTTCAGATATGGTTTATTCATCTTCTCAAACGTCCAGGTATATTACTACTTTAGAACTGTTGTTTAAAAGCAATATTCATTTTAGCAATTACAAAGTATATATATATATATATATATATATATATATATATATATATATACCAGATATATGCCAAATATATATATATATATATATATATATATTCCAAATCTATTTCAGATAATTTATTTCGTTTGGTCACTGTTTAATTATTTATTTTCTTTCTTGTTTAGTGATTCCATTGCACTGCGATGTGTTTACCTGTGTTTACCATGTTTACCTGAGAAGGTCCTTTAAATATTAGGATTTCACTTGAGTTGACATATATATATATATATCTCATTGTAATATACAAAAATAATGTCTGTGTATAAAATCATGGATGTGAAATCCATATCACAAGTTTTTTATGTCTATAAGAAAACACATTGACAGATTTTCTAACACCTTGCCCCAGTGCAAATCTTCTTTTGGCGTTAAAAAGCTGCTTTCAGGGTTTACTAAAAACACGAAGTGAAAAATTCACTTTTTTTCAAGTTTTTCAAGAGTATTTTTTGCTACTGACTTTAGCCTATTGTATGTTTGTAGCAGTGTCCCTTTCAGATGTAAAATGTATGGGAACGATTTGTGAACAGATTTAGACCGATTTGTGAACAATATTTGAGAGAAATAGGCCTGTTGTAGAAATAGGCGTTTATAATTTTGTTCAACCTCTAAATCTGTGTGCTTCCTGTACTTTCATATATATATTTTTATTTTTAAAGAAACTGATACTTTTACCATACATCATTAAGGATTCCTTAAATTGATTAGACAATAAATGTAATACATATATTTTTCATTTGTTGTACTGTATAGCCTTTGGCAATGTTGAGGTTTTCAGCACTTCAGATGGCTGTGAAGATAAGGGTGTGGTGTGTCAGAGCAAGGCATGGAATTTTTTCTTTTATATATACAGTATATATAAAAGAAAAAGTTCCTTCCAGGGCCAGATTTACCTCATATTGTGACATGCAACATTTTAATGTTGATTTATTCTGCATTTATTGAAATTAGGCCTGCTATTACACTACCATTCAAATGTTTGGGGTCAGTGCAAATCTTTGTTTCTTTTCTTTCATTTTTAAAAGAAACTGATAGGCTACTGCAACTTTTCTTTAATTTAGCTTTAGCTTTTGGCAATGTTGAGGTTTTCAGCTCAAATCTTCTCTAGTGTATTACGTGAGTATACAGAAAACACACACACACACACGTGGACTCTTAATATAGCCTTGCATTTATTCCATACCCCAACATCGCCACCTCATGGGCAGAAACAGTATTCAGAGACAGATTTCAAACCATGTAGTTTGTTGCTACACAAGATTTAAAATATGTGAAAGACCACAAACATGAGAGAACAAATCCTAGATTTAACCTTTTTGCTCCTATAATATTATAGCTCCTAAACATATTTTCAACCAGTCATCTTGTCAATTTTTTATTTTTTTTTAAGTTTAACTAGTATTTCTTTGGTTATACAAATCTTCAAGGCACCTATAATACAACTATGGTACATTTTCAGTCACTTTTTTCGGTCACAGTTTTTGCTTTACAGCTCTAGAATAAAGTTATTTTACAGCTAAAGTTACTTTTAATTGATTCACTTGTCGCAACGAACATTGGTTAGGCTATTAACTTAGTGGCCGCTAACACGACACTGTTTTAACGGGAAACTCGGTTTCACTTTATTTGGATGGTCCCTTAACACATTCAGTTGTCTATATAACGTTGCACCTACATCTCTCTAGAGTGTTAGTTGAATATAAGTAGACTGGTAGGGTTAGGGATAGAATAAGTTGACATGTAGTTGCAAAGTAACTTATAGTCAGTTGAATGTCTGTTGGAGGAGCTTCACAATAAAGAGTTATGTTGCAGACAGTACACCAATACTCTAATGAGAGTTAGTAGACATGTAGTTGCAAAGTTGCTTGGTCAACAGGATGTTCAAAAGGGACCATCAAAATAAAGTGTTACTGAAAACTCTTAAGTTCTCTATATGCCAATTTTAAAAACGCAAACCTGTGAGAACGCTGATGGCGTGTACATGCGTATTAA